CGGTGTTCATTTTGTATCAATGTAGTGTTCATTCTAAAATAACGTAATGTTTAGTTTCACACATTTATCCATTACATTTATAATATTCATTTACGAATGACGTATTGTTCATTCTAAAACAACGTAGTGTTTATTCTCAAATAACATAGTGTTCATTCTGAAACAACGTACCGTTCATACCACCCAATAAGTCATTGAAAATGAATATATATAATACTACATATAATACAAATGAGTACTAAGACATAAAAGAATGTGTACTAGCACAATTCAATTCATCCTAAACTCACACCTTGTGTCACCGTAATCTCTTCGTTCCCTCGCTGCCATAGAGCTTCCCGATCAACACAATAGGGAGTTGCCTTCATTACCTTCGATTGCCGCAACATCACAACCGCTTCTTCGATCTTGCTGGATTGACACAATGAGGGAAGGCGATGGTTTGTACGACGACAGCTCCCAAACCTACTATTATGCTTGAAGCAGTGGCTTGAAATGACCTATGATTTTGAAAAGTTTTATTTGGTGTTGCAGGATTGAACAATGACATAAATATTCTTGATCCATCTCCCGTATTTGACAATAAGGTTAATGAGATTGCATCTGGATCGTCTTTTGAACTTAGAGGAATGCCCTACAAGGGTGAATATTATATTGCCGATGAAATATATCCAAATTATTCTATAATTGTCAAGTCACTCTCGGAACTAATCGGTCTTAAACGGTTGACGTTCAAAAAGCTCATGAGGCGGCAATAAAGGATATCAAACGAGCCTTTGGGGTGTTGAAGGGTAAGTGACATATATAGATTGTCCGTCAAAGTGTTATTCTCAAACGAAAATAGGGAATATTATGTACGCATGTATTATTCTTCATAATATGATTATAGAGGACATCCGGTTTGCAATTTGCCATTACAACCCGGACGAGGAGGCACCTATATGTGAAGAAATCAATGAAGAAAAAAACTATAAAATCACCAAGAAACTCGAAGTTGGGAGATTCACGACGCATTAATGGCGAATTTGATTGAATATATTTTCAGTCGTTCAAATAATCATTAATTTCATGTAACTTTTTTATGTATTTTATTTACATTTTATATAACTTTTTTTTGTTTTTTAAAATTTATAGTATTTTTTATTTAATAAATTATTACGGTTTAAAGACTAAACTGCCTTCCCCATTCTTCCCGACAGAGGGGCATTTTAGTCTTTACAATTATATTATTTTTTTCACATATATTAAAAGGGACAGATTGTGCAAATCGTGTAATTTTCAAAGAGTGGTGGCATAACCGGTGAAGTTTTCTTGTTTTAAATGTTATTACCACGCACTTTCATTAGATTTTAGAGCATTTGTATACTTACATAAGAATCAATGAGTAAATCACATTACAACCATGCTATATATTTCAAGTTGTACACCAAAGAAATGTTAGAATATAAATAATTGTTCTTGAGCCACAACCACAAGCTTGGGCTTTTGGTTGAATTGGTTTCTTGACATGGTATCAGAGCCTCGTTGACTAAGAGGTCACGAGTTCGAAACTCAGCGCCACCCAGTTTAAAAAAAATTAAAGTTTCACGTGCAAGGCTTGAAAAAAAACTACACCTGCACGTGAGGGAGTGTGTTAGAATATAAATAGCTGTTCTTAAGCCACAACCACAAGCTTGAGCTTTTGGTTGAATTGGTTTCTTGACAGAAATGCACCGACATTTTAATGGTTCACACTGGCACAAAATATTAGTTTACTTAAAAAAAAATTGAACTAACATTTTTTGTTAACGTAAATCATCACTTTAGTTTGCATGAAATATCAGTGCATGCCTTTGAGGTATAAAATGAAACTTAAAATCTGGTATACGCTTAGTCCAAATTATTTATGCAAATTATATTATACATCCAGCTGTATCCAAAATTGGGTACATCCGGTAAATCGAAAGAAGAAGAAGAAGAGCTGCGTCAATCAGAGGAGAAAGGAGAAGTGCTCCTAATCGGGTCGGGTCATGTCGCGTGGAAGAGAAAAGAGAGATCGATCGAGGAAGGAGAGGTGCTCCTTCAATCGAGGAAGAAAGCTGTTGTATGGAAGGAGAGGTGCTCTGCATCTGTCGACCGAGGAAGCTACTATCTGGGGAGAGGCGCTAGATGAAAAACCCTAGTCGGGTTGGGTGGCGTAGGAGAGAGAAATTATTTATGATATGAATTTTATTTTACATGAAAATGAATACTATGTTATTTGAAAATGAGTACTGTTTTGTTTCAGAATGAACAATACGTTATTTGTAAATGAATATTATAATTGTATTGAACTAATGTGTGAAAATGATTACTGTATTATTTTAGAATGAATACCACGTTAATTATATTCGTACGAGAATGAGTACTATTTTACTTCAGAATAAATATTATCAGAATGTACCTATATATAGGTACAGCCCGTTGTACCATATACTCCTCAATTATATTATTCCGTTACGTATCTGATAAAACTGATATTCTGATGACGGATTTTAATTATGCCCATTACGTATACGAAATAGAAGATAGAAACTACGAGCAATTAATTTAGGGAAAAAACTTGTCTAATTGTTGGCAACTACAATGAATTATTTAAGCAAAATTAGCATTTTCTTATTATTCAAATAAATATCTGTTTTTTAAAATAAAAAAATTATATTTTTTTTATTTGAGAAGGTTCACAAAAATGATATGCACCCAAGGTGCACCAAAAAAGCATTCTTAATTGTTAACACATTTTTTCAGTTTTATATGAAGTACTACCTCCGTGAGTTTTTATTCAGTTTTGACCTTTTGCAATCAAATATCAAGTTTTTTCAATTTATTTTGTTTACATTTTGGTATAGAAATAAAAAACAAATATAACATATCAAAAAACTACATGAAAAATTCTTCGAAATTAGAGGTGTCAAGAATATTTTATTTTATCAAATAATCAATGAAAATGTAGAAATAAACAAAAGTTCTCGTGACTGCAGAAAAAGCAAATGTGAGATATATTTAGGGACGGAGAGAGTATATATGATATATTTAATTTATAAAATAAGATTTTAAAGTATTTTATAAAATAGATCTAATAACACTATTTGTGTATCAAAATCTAATATCATTTTTATTTAATTTAAAGTCAAAGTATGTTAACTTTGACCAAAAAAAATTAAAATTGGACAAATACTCAGGGTCAACAGAGATAGTATTATAATTACTCCCCCGTCCCAAAAAATATTAACTCCGGGGTATTATTTTGTACATCTAATTTTTTTATGAAAAAATTTGATAGACTCATAATCTTTTTTAAAAAAAGATTTATTATTTCACTTTCAACCAAATATTATTATTTTACTTAAATTTTGTGCGAAGTCAAGCTGAAATTTTTGTTAAACGGAGAGAGTATTAAAAAAATAAATCACCCTATAAAACATAGATAAAGTATCAAAATGAGAGTTTTATGTTTTTATTCTCCAAATAGGAGTTCGTAATGTGGTAATGTAGCATTGTACATGCGTATTTTAGTATACTTTTTGATAATGTACACGATCATAATTGGTAATGTAAATGAATTTTAATTCTTATTTTGGGAATAAAAATATTAAATTCCTACTTTAATTTATTTTCAATATTTATTCATATTTTAGTTTTTTTCCTTATTAAAAAGTAGGAAGCTAGATAAATAATGTTATAATCTTGGTTTGAAATTTGAATTTTAGGGAGTACTAGAAACATCACACCGTTAAACATTCTATGTTGCCCGATTTGATTTTTGGGCCGAATGTTTAACGTTTGTTCACAAATAACTCTTAAAATATTGGGTATTAGGAAATTAAAGACTATCTAGAAATAAACTATTCACACACTACATTAATCACTTTATTTGCTTATTTTTATTGCCATTATTGATAGTATATAAGAGTGATGTTTACATGATCTTAAGATCCACGTTTAAAATATTGATCTTTTCACATTTTTCTTAGGCTTACATGTGCACATCTTTTTTGTTGAAAAAATCACTTCTTTTAAACTACAAATACACTGAGATCCATATAATGAGTATAGATCTTAGATCCACGGAGAAATTTGCCAGTATATAATAATACGTTATGTCATATCTTGTTTTGTAAAGCCATTATATAATATTTAAATTTATAAAAAAAATTTAATTTTACATATATAATCAAACAAATTGAGTTGAAAGTAATTTTAATCAAATCTCATAAACAAGAATTGGAAATTTATTTTTGTAGGGAATATTAAAATTAAAGCATTTTTAAATAAGTTTGATTAAGTTTATTTTTTATTGAATTTATTTAAATAATGGTGCAATGATTCCAACTAAAATTTATATATTAAAAAATACATCAAATGCTCTATGAAATAAGAGTTGATATAATTTTTTTATTTTAACAATTTATTAACAAAAATAAATAAATCAATAAAGAAGTAAAATCACCAATAAATAGTGAAATACGGAGTATGATAATAATTGTGAGACGGTGAAAATATATAGGTTAAGTTGTCAAAGTAGAAGATATAAAATAAAAAAGACCACTAAATTAAAATGGCATTATTAGCTTGTGGCGATTTAAAGTGTTTGACTAAAGTTATTTTAAAATTGTATTTATATGAAGATCCTGTCGGGTTTAAAAATTCAATCCTGGTATGTTTAAAAACCACTTCTCTAACCTTTTTTAACCTTTTATTAAAAAAATTTATGTTATTTTTAAATGTATATAGGATAATTTTAGTTTTTTTTAATTTTATACCAATATTTAGAGTAATTAAATTCAAAATAACTTTGTTTATGAAAAATAATCCAAAATGCATCGTGCGGCTCAAATTGCATTGCATTCTGCTATTCTACGCTCAGATTTTGAGATAATGCATTTTCAAAAGAGTTTGGTGCTTTCCGACATGACGCATTTTTAAACTATTTTGGTGCGTCTAATTTTGTTGCAATCTTAATCCTTAGATCTCACAATCTAAAGCACCAGATTCATTTTTATTTCTTTTTTAAGATCGCATTCTCACCAGAATATATATATATATATATATATATATTGTGTGTGTGTGGCATATCCATCGTGGTCTCACCGAAAGAGCTAGACCGGGAAAAAAGAAGAATGGGAGTTGATGGGAAGGAGAATAATAAAAACATTAAGAAGACTAATGAAAACAACGGCCGCCGAGGCGGCGGCGGTGGGGGCTCTTTCTGGTACATCTTCAAACACGCCGATAGAGTGGATATACTGCTGATGGCCCTCGGCTTCTTCGGCGCCGTAGGCGATGGCATCTCCTCTCCGATCATGTATGTGATCACCGGCAGGATCATGAACAGCCTTGGCGGCGCCGCCTCTTCCGGCGGCGGTAGTTTATCTCATCATGTCAACCAGGTTCCTCTTATTGAATTTCTCCCCATCTTTTTCCATATCTGAGTTCATATTATAACACTGCTAACTTTAATTTGGCTGTTTATTATTGAGTAATTTAAACAAACTTAAATATATCAATATGATTAGTCCTATCTATGGAATATATCGTTTGACAATGGAAAGTTCTAAAATGACCTGCGGCCTATGAAAAAATGACATATTACATAATTCAAGTAGAATTAGACATTATTAAAAACAATTTGAATAGTCATTGAAATAATCACTCATTATCAAACATTTGTTAATAATGAATACGTTCGTAGAGTCATTCGTATAATCAATCATTATCCGACGTAACACTTGTTGCTAATGGAAGATCATATGGAATTGAAATAAAACATACTTGATCCTATTTAGGGAAACGTACTACATTTTATATATGGAGCAAATTTTTCTTTATTATTTCCATAGTCAAATTTTACTTCCTCCGTCCTAAAACGTTTTTACCCGTTTCTATTTACACGGTCAAATTTTAAATACTTGTTTTACCTATTTTTGTTAGTTATTTGATAAAATATAGTTCTGTCACCTCTTGTTTTATACTCCCTCCGTCCCTAAATAAAGTTCCATTTTTGACTTTTTGAGGGTTTAAGGGAGAGATATTTTGGTGTTGACTTTCCAAAAATACCCTTGATGTGATGTGTTAAAGTAAGATGTGATAGGTAGATTATTAGTAAAAAGGTATGATGTGATAGGTAGGGTATGAAAAAGTAAGGGGTAAAAGGGGTTTTTTAAGAGAAAAGAGAAGTTTATTTAGGGACAAAGAAAAAACGAAAGAGGAACTTTATTTAGGGACGGAGGGAGTAGAATTTTTTATGGCGGAGTAGTTTTTAAACACTCTATATATAAATTTTATTTTTTAATTTTATACTTACAATCAAATAAATTGAATTGAAAATAAGATCGGTCAATTCTCGTAAACAGAAATGGGAAGAACGTTTTAGGACGGAGAGAGTAATTATTTTCTCTATTTTTTTCGTTGTTCACTTAATAAAATAACGTAATATGTCTTTTCTTATTTTGTAAAACTCTTCATGTAATTTTTCAATATTTAAATTTCATTTTTTAAATCTACCTAATTTTTATATAAACGCATTTGAAAATAAATTCAATTAATTATCAAAAACAACAATAGAATTTAAAATGGTAGAGTTTGACTTTTTTTGGTGTTGTTGCAGAATGCACTCAATTTCTGTTACCTAGCATGTTGGCAATGGGTGGCTTGTTTTCTTGGTGGGTTCAGTATTCTTACACTTTTGCCTAACTCTCCAATATTCCCTTCAAATCAAATACAATATGCTCTTGCCTAAATTTCATGTTTTGAAATTCATTTAAAAACCAGTACAAAATTCAAGCATTATTACAAAAAAAGACAAATAGGTTGCCTCATTTGCATTGATTGTTGAAAAATCGACACAAAAAGGTTGCAAATGCGCGACTTATAAGTCTGCGGCTCCGCGCGTAAGATATTCCGCTGCCCTTTTACATCAGTTGTTAGTACTCCCTCCGTCCACAAATAAACTTTACGTTGCGCATTACGATGTTTGACTGAAGTTATTTTTAAATCATTTTATATGAAAAATGGTGTGAAATTTTAAAATAAAAATCACATATTAAAAAACTATATCAAAAGATCTACAAAACTAGAGGTGACATGACTATATTATTTTATCAAATGGGTAACGAAAATAGGCCAACAAAGTGAATAAAGTTTGACCTTGTGAATAGTGAACGTAAAGTTTATTTGTGGACGGAAGGAGTAACACTTTATTTGAAAATAATTTTCAAAGTAAATTTAATTGAAAAAAAATTACTCTAGTGAAAATAAATTACTCGTTAGAAAACACACACCCAAGTAGTCCGGGATTAAGCTAGCTAAAAGAGAGGGTTAAAAAAAAGATTTACCATCACTGTAAAATTAGTATGTTCCCTACCGGTAATTCAAATACATGTTTCCAACCCATTAAAGTACGGAGTATTAAACACGTTATTAGTGAATCAATAGGAACATGAGTGAAGAAAATTCAACTTTTAAAAAATCAGCTGAAAATTTGGTCGATTATTCTTTGGTTTATTTTACCTTTTTTATATACGCATTTTCTTTCTTCGACGCAATTGTTATTGCACATTTTGAAAAAATTTAAAGATTATGTCTGTGTTTGAAAAACAGCTTTTCGGACATTTTTTTCTTCCGCGAAATTGTTTTTGGCACCTTTTCAGTTTTTGGCTTTTTTAGCCAAGTGAACAACCAAAGCCATTATTTGGTTAATGAGTTTTTATCACTAGGCATTTACATCTGAAAAGCCAAAATCCGAATGAAGATAATTCTTCAAGGCAAAAATTTAAAAAAATGATGTTCGAAAAGAATGACATTTGATTATGGCTTTTATGGTGTCATTATTTGTTGAAGTGTTGAGATGACACTTGAACAAAGATTGTTTGATTATGTGTTGTCCGAGCTGAGCACTCGTAATTCACGTGCTCCAGCTTGAGTGGGGATGTTACCAAAGACATGCAAAGAGGAAAACTAGTGACATTCCTAGTTTTTGTTATTCTTGTTATGTTAGGAATAAGATTTCGACAAATTAATACAGAAATATTTTCTCTTCTTCATATTTTTATACAATTTGTATATTTTAGAAATGTGTAACATACAAATTTACTACGGGCTTTATGCTACACTATATTTTTTTTTAAAAAAACATTATTAACTTCATTATAATACGTATAATAATCCATATTTAATTATGTAATTGATATTATTATATATAGAGGGATATTGTTGGACGAGAACGGGGGAGAGACAAGCATCAAGATTGAGATTAGTGTATATGAAAGCAGTGCTGCGTCAAGAAGTTGGATACTTCGATTTGCACGTCTCAAGCTCCGCTGATGTCATCCACAGCGTTTCCCTCGATACTATGCTTATTCAAGACGTCATTAGCGAAAAGGTAATTGGAATAATAATAATAATTACCTCTTTTCCTTAAAACCCCTAGCTATTTAATGACATAATTTTAAAGAAGTGGGATGATGTTACTTCGTCCTCATTTAAGTTGCATGTTAATTATTCACGCAGTCAAACTTTAATCACATTTTTAAACCAAATTTCGCTACCTGTTTGAGAAAAAATAACACTCCCTTCGTCCCAAATTTGATTACAAATTGTGATTTACGAGATAAAATCTGTCACCTCTTGTTTTGTAGAAATTTTGATATACTTTTTAAATATATAAAATTTACTTTTAAATTTTATGCTAGTGTTGAAATATATTGAATTAAAAATAACACTAGTCACACTCCGTAAACAAGACCTGGCGATTTAAATTGGGACGGAAAAAGTATGTCAATATGATATGAATTTTGAAATTTAAGACGAATGATACGGGTTGCGAAATCAAAAATGAAATTGTTTGGGAAATGTTTAAAATCATGATTTAATCAATGATAGACATGGATGAACGACAGTGGCTAGGAATATCAAAACTCTTCATTTGGAAGATTTGAAATATCCGGATATATTAAATCGTGATTAAATCAGGATATATGGGCTACAAACGTTTAATAATGGTTAAATCCAATCAAGTATCTAATTTAACTTAAAACTTTAAAATTCTTTTTAATTAGTTTCTCAAATTTATCGTGCAGATTCCGGCAATGTTAACACACATGGCGCTGTTCATCTCATCCTACGTGGTCGGGTTCATGCTGATGTGGCGGCTGGCCCTTGTCGGCGTCCCCTTCATCGTCTTCCTCGTCATTCCCGGCTTGATTTACGGGAGGGCACTTTCGGGAATCGGAAGAAAGATGAGAGAGGAATACGGGAAGGCGGGTCGGGTCGTGGAGCAGGCCATCTCTTCGGTCCGGACCGTTTATTCGTTCGTGGGCGAAGAGGTGACCGTTCGAAATTACTCATCTGCCCTTGAAAGGACGTTGAAATTGGGCCTGAGGCAGGGCCTTGCCAAAGGGCTGGCCGTGGGCAGTAATGGTATCGTGTTCGCGATTTGGGCCTTCATGGCCTATTTTGGTAGCAGGCTGGTCATGTATCATGGCGCGCGTGGCGGCACAGTTTTCGCCGTGGGCTCCGCAATCGCGCGTGGTGGAAAGTAAGCTTATTGTACAACTCCTTATATTCCATCCTTTACTCCTTCAGTTTAATTTTTCAAAATTAAATTTAAATTATTTTATAATTAATTAATCAAGAATAAAATTGAATATTAGAACAGAAATGATTCCATTAGAATTATTTTGTGAAAACTATCAAAAGTCTTGTTCAACGAATTGATATGGAAAACAAATGCAATGTACTCGTAATTGTTAACTAAAGTTCATCCAATTTGATTGCACAAGTAATTATATTACTTTGTCAAATAATCAGTAGGGGTGGACACGGTACGGTTCCGGTTCCGGAACCGCCGGTTCCAGTACCGCCACCCCGAGTAACCGGATAGTATACCGTGCCGGCCGGTACCGGTTCCCGGACCGGCGGTTCCGGTACCGGACCGGCCGGTTTCGCCCCCCCCCCCCCTATTTTTTTTTTAATTTTTAAATTATAAAAAATTGCAATTGTAAAATTGCAATTGTTTAAAAATTGCAATTGTTTAAGGAAAGAATGCAATTGTTTCGCCCCCCACCTTTTTTTTTTTAACTTTTTTGCATTTCAAATCAAAAAAAAAAAAAAAAAAAATTATACCGGTACCGGAACCGGACCGGTACCGCCGGTACCGGTACCAAAAAATAGGTACCGGAACCGGTATCGAAAGTGGCGGTACCGGTACCGGTTCCCGGAACCGGTGACACGGCGACCTTGCCGGTGACGGTGGCGGGTACCGGCAGTACCGTTGCCGGTGACGGTACCGTACCGGTACCGTGTCCACCCCTAATAATCAGTAAATTTAAATTACGTTATCTTATTTTATTTTACCAAATGGTATGTAAAAAAAATTCATGTTGCATTTTGTTAGAAATATCCCTAATTAACAGGTTTCTTGGATAGGGCATTGGGGCCTGTTTTCTCAGACATGAAGCATTTCTCAGAGGCTTCCCTATCACTCGAGCGAATAATGGAAGTGATAAAGAGAGCCCCCGAGATCGACTCCGAGAGCCCGGAGGGCCAAACCCTAGAAAGCATCTCAGGAGAACTCGAATTCAGAAATGTCGAATTCGCGTACCCGACGAGACCCGAAAGCATCATTCTCAAGGACTTCAACCTGAGGGTACTGGCGGGTAAGACGGTGGCGCTAGTCGGGGAGAGTGGGTCCGGGAAGTCGACAGTCGTTGGGTTGATACAGAGGTTTTATGACCCCACGAGAGGAGAGATTTCTCTCGATGGGGTCCGCATCGATAGACTTCAGCTCAAGTGGCTGAGGTCGCAGATGGGACTAGTGAGCCAAGAGGGGGCGTTGTTTGGCACCACCATCAAAGAAAATATAATGTTCGGGAGGGAGAACGCGTCCCGAGACGAGGTGATCGATGCTGCCAAAGCTGCCAATGCTCATGACTTCATTTCCCAGTTGCCACAAGGATATGATACCCAGGTTACTTTAATACTGCGTATTCCTTTTTATTTGAGTTGTTTTAATATTATCGATCTTTATAAATGTACAAAATATTTTTTTAAAAAAACTCATGCTAAGTGAAACCATGAAAAAAAGTAGAGAGTATGAGAGAGATTATATTCCTAATGCAAAATAGGGGGTTAAATGATTAGAAATCCCCATAAATAAGACTAAAACATAATAAAGTACTAAAATAAGACTTCCATGTTTTTATTCCCGAAATAGCAGTTCGCACTGTAGTAATGTGGCATTGTACACGTGCACATTACTATATTTTTTGGCAATGTAAATGACCACGTTTGGTTATGTAAATGCATTTTAACTCCTATTTCGAAAATAAAAACATGAAAGTACTGTTTTGGTATATTTTCAATATTTTAATCTTACTTTAGTCTTTTTTTTAAATTACTCCCTTCGTCCTAAAACTTTCTTCCCGTTGCGCAAAACGAAGAAAAATCCCAAGTTTTTTCAATCTATTTTATTTAAATATTGGTATAGAAATAAAAAAATATAACATACATATTTAAAAACTACATCAAAAGTTCAACAAAACAAGCGGTGACAAGAATATTTTATTTTATCATATAGGCCATGAAAAAACACAAATAAATATAAATTCTCGTGAAATTGGAATAGTGCTCTAGGAAGAAAGTTTTAGGACGGAGGGAGTATTACAATACGCAATATTTTCAATTAGGTTTTAGTGAAACTAATACTCTCATGTATGAATTGAATATGTTTTCCCTTATGTTAAAGTAACAAAAACACAGAGAATTGTAAGTTATAACTTAGCTTGTAAAAGTGTATTACAAAAATTAAAAGGAAAATGCTAGGGGTACACCAAAAGTGTACCTCAAGTATCCCACACCCCTCCATCACCACACAAAAAAGGCAAAAAAATTTCAAAAAAAAGTAAAAAATAGAAAAAAAATAAAATGAATAGTGTAGAGACAAGTGATGTACATTTGGGGTACACCTTTGGTGTAGCATATCCCAAATTAAAAATCAACATGACCTATTTTAACCATAACACTTTTAAATTTCTTCTCATTAAATATTCGATCTTCTTGTCGGGTACCATGTCAAAAAGAAAAAGAAAATCATATCTTTTGAAAACGACAAAGGGAATTAAATTGGTCAAAAGCACCACTCTTGAGAATTGTATTCCCTCACTTTTCCAACTTATTTCGCCTTAACTTTTTCTGTTTATGTTTTTTGAATTTTATAAGCGCCGCTTTCTTTGTAGTGTTGTCACACAGCTGCCCGCCTAGAAGAGCCACTCGCTCTGTAGTGTTGTCACACAAGATAAGCACGCCGCCCGCCTGCTGGCCGGGCGAATCGAAGTTATCGAAACCCAATAAGTTGGCTTTGCCAACAACATTAGGGCCGTAGAATGAAGGAGACGGCCCGGGCTGGCTTCAATGAAATGAGTTGAACATAGTTCAACGAATCTTTATTCTCTGTCAACCACTAACTAAGCCTAAAGGCTATCCAGCTTAAGGATGAAATTATTTATATTTATAATATTTATAAGGTTATAAGGGAATAGCCCGTCGGTAGCAAAGGCGGACTTTTTGGGTGCTAAGATCCAAAGTCGAGAGGGAAACAGCCCAGATCGTACGCTAAGGTCCCTAAGCAATCACTTAGTGTAGGCCTGTATTTGGAGTTTCCCTGGGGTTGGTAAGGCGAAATGGGGCTTCGTACCTCGAAGATTCCTCTTCGAGTGACTTCGTACCTCGACCGTAAGGGAGAGGTACGAAGTGACTAGAGAACAGAGAACAGAGATTCGTTTCACTATGTGAAACTCATTTCGTTTCACTATGTGAAACTCATTTCGTTTCACTATGTTACACTCATTTCGTTGAACTAAGAATCAATTCAACCAAAAAACTCAAATGTGCATGCGAGACTATTTATTTTTTTAATAGAGATTTACAAAGTAAAAATTGTTTTTTAAACTGAATACTCTGATACCGTGTTAAAAAAACTAACTCAATCACAAGCTCAAACTTGTGGTTGTAGGTCCATGATTGATTTTATACTCTAACATAAATTAGAATATCATATACTCCGTATATAGTTATTATGTACTCCTTCCGTTCACCAAATTAAAAGAGTTCCTATTTTGACTAATGGGAGAAATAAGAAGTTTATATTTGTAGTTGACTTTTTAATTTTGTCTTTTATGTGATGTGTAAAAATAAAGTGTGATGAGTTGACTATTAGTGAAAAAATATGATGTAATAAGTAGGGTAATAGAAATTGAGAAAGTAAAGGTAAAATTGGTTTTTCTAATAGAAAATCAAAGTATCTTAGTAAAAGAGAAAAAGAATAATAGAGAAAGGGTTTTGGTGGACGAATGGAGTAAATCTTACATATATTATACTTTGTATTTATTTAAAAATATAATTTAAATAAAAATTTCATATTTTTCATAACATTTTTTTAGTACTCCATCCGTCCCACTGTCTTTGTCCACTTACCTTTTGGCACACCATCCAATGCACTTCTTTAATCCATTTTATCTTGTAATTTGTATATTAAAAAATTATAAAAATTATATATTAATAATCTATATGTTAAGACGAATCAAACGAGATCACAGATGACTATTTTTAGGCTTACACATTGAGAGAATTTGATGAGTCAAAGTGCTTAGATGAACAGTTTCAAAAGTCAAAAGTGGACAAAGACAGTGGGACGGAGGTAGTATAATATTAGAAACAATTTGAGAGAAACAAGATCTAATAAGAAAGACTCATATAATAATAAAGAGTTTTTTTTTGCAGGTGGGAGAAAGAGGGGTGCAAATGTCGGGAGGAGAGAGACAAAGAATAGCAATAGCAAGAGCCATAATAAAGGCCCCCAAAATCCTTCTCCTTGACGAGGCCACAAGCGCACTCGACTCCGAATCCGAACGGGCTGTCCAACAAGCCCTAGACCACGCCTCTACCGGCCGCACCACCGTCATCGTGGCCCACCGCCTCTCGACTATAAAAAATGCCGACCTCATCGCCGTGATCCAAAATGGCCACGTCAAGGAGGTCGGCTCCCACGACCGCCCCATCAAGGGCGGCAGTGGCGGCATTTACTCCTCCTTGGCCCGCCTCCACCACCCCGAGAACCCCCCGGGCCCCACAAATGAAGAGCTGTCGAGACTTGACGTTCCCCTGACTACAAGTCAAGATTCATACAGTCATTCGTATTCAGCTGGTGTGGAACCGCACCACTCAGTGTGTCCTGTAGAGAACACTACTCATGGCAAGCCGCCTTCGTTCAGAAGGTTGCTCACCATGAACGCGCCAGAATGGAGGCAAGCGGCGTTAGGTTCGACAGGGGCAATGCTATTTGGAGGAGTGCAACCCATGTTTGCACTCGCATTGGGATCAATGGTGTCGGCGTATTTCTTGCACAACCATGGTGAGATCAAAGAGAAGATAAGAATGTACGCCCTGTGCTTTCTTGGGCTTGCCATTTTCTCACTTCTTGTCAACATACTTCAGCACTACAACTTTGCTTCCATGGGAGAGTACTTGACCAAAAGGATTAGAAAAAGAATGCTCTCTAAGATGCTTACCTTTGAAATCGCGTGGTTCGACAAGGACGAAAATGGCACCGGAGCTGTTTGTTCGCGACTTTCCAAAGACGCAAATGTGGTACGTACTTACATTTCAGTGGCGGACGTAGAAATTTCGACATGCTGAGTCCATTTACTTAGTATTTTTTTGCACATTTTGATTTTTGGATCACTGTGTTAAAAGTTCGACCATGACGTGCACTTACGCAGGTCAGATCGCTAGTCGGGGACCGAATGGGGTTGCTAATTCAGGCAACGTCGGCGGTTCTCATAGCATGGACGATGGGGCTAGTCATTGCATGGAAACTAGGGCTAGTTATGATTGCGGTCCAGCCACTGATCATAGCTTGTTACTACTCCAAGCGCGTCATGCTAAAGACCATGTCCAAGAAAGCCAAGAAAGCCCAAGAAGAAACCGGCAAGCTAGCCGGAGAAGCACTAGCAAACCTCCGAACCATCACCGCGTTCTCCTCCCAGACTAGAATCCTTGAAATGCTGGAGAAAGCTCAAGAGATCCCGAGGGCGGAGAATGTTCGCCAGTCGTGGTTTGCTGGCGCCGGGCTTGCCACCGCCTGCGGCCTCACCACGTGCACTCGTGCTCTCGGGTACTGGTACGGTGGCAAGCTCGTCGCTGAAGGCTCTGTTACGGCCCGGTCCGTGTTCCAGACGTTCCAAATCTTGCTGACCACGGGCCGGGTCATAGCTGACGCTGGGACCATGACTAACGACCTCGCTAAAGGGTCCGATACCGTGAGCTCCGTGTTTTCAGTACTAGACCGACGCTCCTTGATCGAACCAGACGAGGACGAGAAGTTAAAACCCGATCACGTACGGGGGCACGTCGAGATCAAGAAAGTTGACTTTGCGTACCCCGCCAGGCCGAACACCGCCATCTTCGAGCGATTTTCGGTTGTTTTCGAAGCCGGGAAATCGACCGCTCTCGTCGGGCCAAGCGGGTCCGGGAAGTCGACAGTGATCGGGCTGGTCGAGAGATTCTACGACCCGATCAACGGCGCGGTGCTGATAGACGGGCGCGACGTGAGGTCCTACCACCTGCGCGCCCTGAGAGAGCACATCGCCCTCGTGAACCAAGAGCCGGCGTTGTTCGCCGGGACCGTACGCGAGAACATCGCGTACGGCGCCGCCAGCTTCGCCGCCTCGGAGGCGGAGATCGCCGAGGCGGCGAAGCTGGCAAACGCGCACGAGTTCATCACGGCGTTGAGAGACGGGTACGACACGTGGTGCGGGGAGAGGGGGGTGCAGCTATCCGGGGGACAAAAGCAGAGGATAGCCATAGCCAGGGCACTGCTGAAGAAGCCGGCGATACTTCTGTTGGACGAGGCGACGAGCGCGTTGGACAACCAGTCAGAGAAGACAGTGCAGGCGGCGCTGGAGCGAGTGATGGTCGGCCGGACGAGCGTTGTGGTGGCGCACCGGTTGAGTACGGTGTATGATTGTGACACCATTGTGGTGTTGGACAAGGGGAAGGTTGTGGAACAGGGGAATCACTCCACCTTGTTGGCCAAAGGGCCAAGTGGGACTTACTATTCCTTGGTCCACATTCAAAGAACATCCTACCCAATCTAAAGTTATTCATACTTTAACATTTTCTTTTTCTTTAAAATGAGTGAGCTTTGCTTTCATCTCAAGTTAAATAAAAAAAATTGTACACCTTACTTCCTATTAATATCAAAATGGTTATTTTTTCCTCTCAGAATATACGTTTAGCTTGACTTAAACTTTTCTGTCATACCGTGCGAATTAAGGAATTTTGATTACAAGTACTCTTCCGTCCAAATTAAACTTTTCATTTTCTTTTTTTCGGAATTTTAAGAAAAAGTAAATTATTTAGATAAAATTTGTGTGGAGAGATCTAAAATAAATCAAACCACCTCTTTTGTTCATTTTAAGGAATGAAAAGTTTAATTTATGAAAATTTATTTTTTATACACGACCAATTTTGAATCTTTTTTATAGTGCTTCATTCTCTGGAGGCGGCGAGGGGAGGAGGTGGCGGGAGGAGATGATGGGGATGTGGGAGAAAGGATGAACTCAATCTAGGAATTAGATTATTTGAGGATTGAGTAAAAAATAAAAATAAACTTTGATTCAAAACAAACAAAAGTTATTTTCATCTCTTTGAAAAAATATTATTTTAAATTAAGAAAAATCATTTCTTACCACTTATGTAATTTAACATTGAAAAAGTAAAATTAGAATTTTCTAGAAAAATGTTTTTTTCAACCAAATAGATCCTAAGAATTGCAGAGTAGGATCCAAAAGAACATAATATTAAAAATTTGAAGAAAATTTGTATAATGAACAATAATTTCGTTTTGTCCCGTGCATGGCACATGTTAAAAAACTAGTTAAAGAAAAGTGATAAATTTATTTTGAGATGATTTGTTTTGAATATATTTATACAAAAATGATCTCATTATATTTCTCAAGAAAAATGTTTCAAATATTAATTGCTCCCTCCATTTCTTACAACAGTTCATCTTTTATTTTTTCATTTTCCTTAAAACCCTTCTATTTTTGTAAAAGAAATGATATAATTAGAAGATCAAACTATGAAAATAAATTCTTTTTAAATCAAAACAGGAATCATTTTAGGAAACGGAGGGAGTACTACGTACCATGCGATTTTTTAATTTTAATTGACTATTAAAATTTATTCAATTTGATTAAAAAATAGACAAATATTCTAAGATCTTGGTAGGTTATATATATAGTTCATTCTTGTTCTCCATGAGTTTTCACCTCAAGAATATTCTTTTCGCATCTTGTTTTATAGAATTTGTATATAGTTTTTAAATATATAACTTGTAATTTTTATTTCTATACCAATTTATAGATAAAATTATTCAAAAATGATAAGATGTTGCACGTTGTTCAAAGAGTGTAAATGAGTTTAGGACGGAAATACTCTCTCTGTCCTGGAACAAAACACATACTTTCCAAATCAGGCGCACCAAAACAAAAGTCACACGTATTTTGGTTATTTTGCTTAGAGCATCAATAACGGTGAGATAAAATAGAATGACATGCGATGATGTGAAACATTTTAACTAATGAAAAACAGTCAGTCAATGTATCACAAGTGAGTGTCGTGACAATAGCAAGTCATTGTTTTTGTCACTTTTATATTTTTTAAGGTATTTTAATTAATAAAAATTATTTTGCATATCTTTTTCTTTCAAAAAAATACTTCTACTTCTCTAAAAAAAATAGTCTTCTATGTTATGGAGAATAAGAAAAAAAAGTAGAAATAGAAAATAAATTAATAAAAAATTGAGAGCAAATTGGCACGCATATGCCACGCAAAAAGGGGTGATCGAAATGCCTAAAATTGCCTTGCAAATAGAGGAAGAGCCGAAGAAGTATGGCGTGGCATGGCAAGTCTTTGCCTTGCTGTTGTCAATGTTCTAACACTTTTGTTTTTAATGAATTTTCTATATTTTCAATCATTTTTACACTCTCTTTTTTTTCGGTTATTTATCCTGTTTTTTGCAATATTTTTTATACTATTTTTCCTAATTGAACCAATTCACATTAAAATTGATTTAATTTCGGTATTTTGCAAATTCGACCTCCCAAAACAAAACCCAGACTTTCTTTTCAACAATTTTTCAATCTTCACAAAATGAAAATAGATAAATTAATTTTTGAGAGGTAGAGATTTAAGTTTAGGCAGACAAATTATATTGGAGAATGCTAGGTTGCCACCACATGGGTGCTACCATGGGTGCACCCACGCTTCACACAGACGATAATTGTCTGTGTCGCACAGACAATTATCGTCTGTATTTGTCTGTGTGAAGCATGGGTGCACCCATGTGGCGGCGCCCTAGCATAGTCCAATTATATTTGAGAGGACCATGCTAGGGTGCCACCACATGGGTGCTACTATGGGTGCATCCATGCTTTGCACAGAAAAATACAGACAATAATTGTCTGTGTCGCACAGACAATAATCGTCTGTGTTTGTCTGTGCGAAGCATGGGTGCACCAATGGTAGCACCCATGTGGTGGCACTTTAACATTTTCCTATTTGAGATGGGGGGAGCTAAAGTTTATGTGACATAAAAATCTTTCTTTACCAACATAGACAATCAATCATATGCTATAACCGCAAGCGACACGCATTCTCCTCCCTCCTTGTCTGTTCGCGAAACGCATCTCGACGCTTGTGTTCTTCTTTCCTTAGCCCTTTACAGTTTGCTCTCTTTTCAGTTCTTGAACAAGTTTTTTTTCTCAATTGCTCAAGAAACGCAGACCAATCAATGCTGCGTGCAGGCTCACTCCGATTTCCCATTTTGGCCACCTTCCTCCTGTTTTTCTCTGCATTTCCCTTATCATCTCAGGGAAAAGAAAGGAGCCCAGAGGAAATTTCCCATTTTGTTCCATTTCATGCTCAGCACAATCCAGGTATCCGACTTTCCCATTTTTTTTCAAGAAAAAAGTTTGGGTTTTTTCCCCTTAATTTGGGACATTGTTTTGGGAGTGTTAGGTGAGATTTATAGGGATATTAATGGAGTGGTTTTGGGGGAGAAAAGAAGGGTTCTTGCTGAAGGTCCCAATGGTGAGCTCCCATTGAACTCATCATCACTCATCTTGGCTGCTAAAAGGACTTACAGGCAAGACCCTCTCAATGATTTCAAGAAATACACTGGTGGATGGAACATAAGCAACCGCCACTACTGGGCTGTGAGTATCCTACATTTTTATCCCTTTGGGGTGAGACTGAAAGTTGTGAATTTTATGGTAAAGGATTAGTTGAGGGAGAAAATATTTCCATTTTTGTGCATCTGAAATAAAAAATTAGGGTTAAGTTTTGGTAATTTTGCAACTTATTGTGAATCTTTGATATCCTGTGATTCTTGATATATACTCCCTATATGGCATTTACTATATTAGGACCAGTGAGTAACTTTATTTCTGGATGAACGTGATTCTTCCCAAAGATTGTTGTTTTTTTAATAGAAATTTATCAATGTCAATGTTCTCTTTATATCAGTTAAATAAATGAAATTTCATAATATGTAAAAGAATGCTGTCGAAGTAGGCTGCTTAAAACTGTCATGGATATATACTCTAAATAAACGGAACAAACAATGTTTTCTATTCCTCTTGTTGTATCCCAATATGTAGGCTGGATGTAAACCATATTATGTTGGCTGTATTATCTGTAGAAAAAGTGTATAGATTCTTTTCATTTGGAAGAAGGTGAGTTGGAGGAATTGCGGATTCCAAGGGCCATTAGCAAGATTTATATATTTGCATTCCTTTTGAGAGATCTTTAAATGGCCACTAGAAACTTCCATTAATAACAATGTGTTAGCTGTAAAAGCATAAACTCATTTCTAAAACTGCACCAAAGTGGTGTTCTTTTGGTAAAGAACCATGCATTCTATATTCCTATCCCATTGGAATCGCTATATTATTTGTCTATATATTTATTTCTTGTTTGTATTTTTTTTTGCAGTCTGTGGGTTTTACTGCCGTTCCATTCTTTTTAGCTGCTCTGATCTGGTTTGCAATCTTTGGGCTTTGTTTGTTGTTCATTTGTATTTGCTACTGCTGTTGCGCAAGGGAACAATATGGATATTCCCGACTAGCATATGCTCTCTCTCTCATCCTCCTCATCGTCTTTACTGTTGCTGCAATGTACTCTCTCTCTCTCTCTCTCTCTCTTGCCCAAAACACCATTCCCAAAGAGCCCTTTGGAGCATAAAACCATTTTTTAATTTTTTTTCCCCCATTTTTTTGTGTGTTCAGAGTTGGCTGCATCATTCTGTATGTTGGACAGGGAAAATTTCATAGCAGTACAATAAACACTTTAGGCTATGTAGTTAACCAGGCAAACACAACAGCAGGTAGTCTCAGAAATGTTTCAGGTTATCTGGCGGCAGCCAAACAGATCTCAGTGGCCCAATTTCTTCTCCCCGGTAATGTGCAAAGTGACATTGATGGCATCATGAACAGGATCAACTCTTCTGCTAGTGAACTTGCTACTAAGACTTCAGAAAACAAAGATGGCATAGACAACCTGATAGAGACCGTGTAAGAGGAAACTTAAACCATGGGTTTATCAAGCTGTTCTCTATTTATTTACTGTTCAGTCACAAAATGATCTTCAATGCAGGAGAGTTGCCCTTATTGTACTATCTGCTATTATGCTTCTCTTGACGTTTCTTGGATTCGGTAAGAGGATTTTCTTTCCACTCTAAAGACAAATCTTCAAATTCGCAACATTTTAATAATATCTATGTGTGATTATTTCATTTGTGGTTCAACCTCATCCGCTGCAGTGTTTTCCATTTTCGGGATGCAATATCTTGTGTACATGTGAGTGCTCTCTCTCTCTCTCTCTCACACACACAATCTTTTGTAGTGCTCCTCCTCTTTTTATTCCTTGGTTTATACCCGAGTTTGATTCCTGGGAATTGTGCGCGGAGGCAACTATGCTAAGCATAGGGCCTCGTACCAGGTATAGGCTTCACCCTTTGCTAGTCAGTCTGTGATTATAGCTCAATTTACCTTCTATCATATGACTGTCCATGTGAGGGCCCCCCTGAGGATGGGGCTTTATTATATATATATTTTTTGTTTATACACAGTTTTGTGGTGTATGTCTTTGAGGCTAGCTTTGTGGTTCTATTTTGGCAGCTTGGTGGTCATTGGGTGGATTCTCATAACAGGGACATTCATTATATGTGGCATATTTCTTCTTCTTCATAAGTAAGTTGCTTAAAGTCAATTATAAATGCTCCTTTACACTATGTTTTGTTCAAGGAATTTGAAAGGGAAAAGGAAAGAAAAATGTGAGGCAAAACAGTTTTTTCTTGTTTGGTTAAAGAGGAAAAGAAAAGAAAAGTGGAAGGAAAGAAAATGAGAAGGAAAAATGTACTAAGAGGAGGGAAAACAAATTCCTTCCGTTTTGGTGAAGAAAATGAGAGAAAAAGATTTCTTTTCTTTTCTTTCCAAATTCTTTGAACCAACCAAACATGGTGTTAAGCGTTGAGTCCTGGAAGCAGCCTCTTCCAAAAAGGAAAGATTAGGCTTGCCTCCGTTAAGTATTAACAAACCAATTCAACTACGAGCTCAGTCTTGTGATTGGGCACCCAAGAAAAGATTTATACACAATATATCACGTCTCGGATAAAATCTGATTGGCATGCATGGACTGGCCCACACAGTGTGACTGCAGATTCTTGCGTGGCGATGGACCAGTGGGTCCAGAACCCGATGGCCCATACAGCTCTGGACGACATACTGCCATGCGTGGACAATGCCACGGCACAAGAGACTTTGAGGAAGAGCAAAGAGGTCACATACCAACTCTGCGATGTCAACAACAAGGTCATCACCACCGTGTCTAACAACTTTCCTCCCGGTCTTTTTTACTACAACCAGTCTGGCCCGCGGCTTCCGACTCTTTGCAATCCATTTCATGCTGACTTGACGGCTAGACCGTGTGATCCTGGAGAAGTGCACTTGAGCAATGCGACAAAGGTACTGCATTGTATTTATTGTCTTAGGGTCCGTTTGGGTCTTATACAATATTTAACAAAAAAGGGCTCCGGGAGGGGAGGGGGGGTTACCCTCTAGGGGCGCTTAAACTTTGTGGTAATATACTCCGAGGGTAGATTCTGTCAATTCCACCATTAGAAGTTAACGCCTTATTATGCCGTTATTTTGGATAGATGAACCGCTCAAAAAGGAAAGAAGAATCGAAAGAGGAATTGTTCCAAAAGAAACTATAGGGGCATTTCGGTCATTGTAACCATTCTAAACGGTGGAATTGACGGAATGTACCCTCGGAGTACATTACCACAAAGTTTTAAGTACACCTGGAATTATTTTAAATAACGTGGTACCTCGGGAGTTCTTATTAGAAAATAAAGGGTACCCTGGAGCAATTCTTTGCAGTAGCAAGGAAGAATGGATGGAAAATAGGAAGCAATGAAATTTTTTTTCTTTTAATGTAGTTCAACCCAAATGTCTTATTGCCCAGTCTAGTCTTGCAATCCCTGCACCATTTTAAATTTTGCAACTTGTGCAGGTGTGGAACAAGTATGTATGCCAGGTCTCCTCTAGCGACATATGCACCACGAGCGGCCGTCTGACTCCAAAGATCTATTCCCAAATGGCTGCCGCTGTAAACGTGAGCTACGGGCTGTACCATTACGGCCAGTTCCTCACGGACCTCCAGAACTGTGACTTTGTGAGAGTGACCTTCAACAAAATATACACGACTTACTGTCCTGGCCTGCGACACTACAGCCAGTGGGTTTACGCAGGGCTTGTTGTGGTCGCTGTTGCAGTGATGCTTTCTCTCACTTTCTGGGTCCTCTACGGGAGAGAGAGACGCCACCGGATCTACACGAAAAATCATACGGAGAAGCAACCGGGGGAAGACTGAGATGAAGAGCTACGGTAGTAGATTTTTTTATGCATTTTCAATCTTTGATGACACCATTCTGTCTCAGAGGCACACACAGACGATGCGGGAACTGTTTGTGTGTGTGTGAGTGTCTGTGAAAGACTGGTGTCAGATATGGGATTCCCGTGGATTTTTTTTTGTACAACAAGAAGTGTACGCCAATTCTATTTTTTTGCACTTCACAGACAATATTTGTCTGTGTCGCGCAGACAAGATTTGTGTGGAGTACAAGGAAATGGGATTGGTATAATGTTTGCTTGTGCTACTTTTTTTTCTTAGTGTACAATGGAGAGCATGATTTGGTGTGTGTAAGATGGGGTGGACATATATGTTATTGTTTGGTGTTATTCTTTGATATTTATGTGAAATTCTTATGAATATATATTCTCTTTGAATCAGTAAATGTGTGATATATTATTGTTCGTGTTCACTTTCCCTTTTATATTTCAGCAAGCTTGATTATGGGGTGGATTTGTCCAAAATGAGATTAATTAGAAAATTAAATCCACCGAGATGGTGAATTATTTATTCCTCCCTCAATTAGTGTTCTCTTCAAATTCTTTCGTCAACTCTTTAACTTTAACCATGCTTTGCATTAAAGACAATATTACATTATAATTTTAAATTAATATTATTAGATATATTGTAAATGTAATATTAGAACATTTTTTAAATGTTCCATATTTATTTATTTTTAATCAAAATTTTACATCGTAACATACTCCGTGATGGAGGGAGTAACATTCGTGGAAACTAACTTGGAACAAAATGGGTAAAAACAATTTTACTCAGTGCAGAGTTTTTTCTTTTTTAAAAAAATTACGTAGTATTCTAACAAATCAATTAAAATCACGTTTAAAAAAATCACCTAAAATCAAAGACCATTATTGAAATGGTTCTCTTTACACTAGAGATTATATTTCTAAAGAAAATAATAATTCCAGTATTATCTTTTTCAGTTTTCTTCCTTCACTAGATTTCTTACAATAGATGGCGATAGTTCCGGCCCCGCGCAATTCGCTGCCATTTGTACCGCAACGAGTTCGTGAAGCTCATTTCCATTTGCTCCTGAACAAACCTGCAGCCACATTGGCAAAAGTTTAACAAAAAACTCGATACATTGAAAGGTTTTAGAAAAATCGTGGGAGCGAACTCAACACACAAAGGACATATCTTACCATCTGACCAGACACCTCTGTATGCCTCGAGATATTGGGCGAAGAATGGATGGATCTCGTTGCATATACAGCAACCCAACCTAATGCGGGACATCAAACAGAAAAAAATGAACAAAATTCGGGCGCAATAATTAAGTGTTTTTTTTGGTTTCCTAGAGTCATGAGTGACGATTTAAAAGTTGCAAAAAACACCAACGTGTGATACAACATATTTGACAGCTTTGTTATTTACTCGTCTTGCAGAGGAGAGAAAAAACGTATAGAGACACATTAGAGCGCGAGACTTGATGATAATATGATATGGTGATGCATGAGGAGAAAGTGGAAAACGAGGTTAATGGTGTTCATGAATCATGACCCAGTTGGATGGGATTAAGGTTTGGTTGAGGTTTCTAATTTGTATGAGAACCCCCGCACGTTTACGAAAATAAAAAAATGAATTTTATGGGTGGGTACTTCTCAAAAAAGCAATATAGCCTAGTAGATTTACGGAGAATATAAGACCACAGAATACCTGTATTAATGCAACCGCACATGGATCGTCAAATATTTCAAGACTGCAATCTTGCAGGTAATTTAGCTGCAATAAACATCCCCGAATTATTCGCTGAATATATGATGAAGGGTTTGAGCAATAGTGTTCCAGGTTTAATGCAATAGTAAATACGCATACATCCATACATATGTGATGTATTTTGAAAATGCTAGTAGAATTAGTGTTTTGAAAAAATATTGATGATTTTAACATTTAAGTTTATGTTTTAGCTTTTTATTAAGTTACCAAATGTTTTTTTTGGAAAAGTTATTACTGCCAACTCCTAAAATACGGACTGTTGTCTGACAAGTGTTGTTTGCCAAATAGGCCCAAAGATTCAGAAGAAACAAATTTCTTTCCAATGGAGCTGAAAGAGAAGTAATTGAAAATGGTTTAGTTCCAAATAAATAATGGACTATATGAAAATGACACAATAAAATTCATTTGCTTCTTACTTTCAATGATGTTTTGGATAGTAAATACAGCAATGCATTAAGGGTCTAACAAAAACTGTCTATATTTTACAGCAGCATAAAGCTGCATACATCTTGACCCTACATTCCAACAGAAATGAGATTATACTGGGTTGTAGTTATTGTCATTGTTTTTATTGAAGGACCATTGGAAAATGCAATGAGAGAGAGAGAGAGACGATACCCCAAATTCTGCATTGACTAGAGAATGAACAAAGTCTACTAGCTGAATCTTAGCCCACTCGCGACATGCGACTTGGTCACCATGATGTGAAAGATTTCTCCAAGGAGCTCCAAAACACAATTTGTCTTTTGGAATTTTCCCGCTATGTGCATCGTTTGCAAACTTCTGTACACTTGATAATGCCTTATCCATGGCAGGATTAACCACTGTCATCTGCAAAAAGAAAAAGAATAAGGCATTAAGCCCAATCATAAATGTTTGCTTCACCACCACGGGCCACCACTGCCCTTGTTTTAGGAGAAAATGCAAATCACAGATTGTATATCAGGAAGGTACCCTTGAACTTACACGGGATTCAAAATCCCAGCAGGAAAACTAGTCCTGACTTAAAGATCTGGCTTTGTAAGGGTTATTTGGCTGAAATGACTGAAGTTGCATAATTTTCTTTGAACAAAAGCTTTGATAATCCATGCATTTCAATCAAATAAGCCATGTTTGGCTACCAAACAAAACCTAAGCCCCCCGCAAACACACCTTTAGCTACCACCACGAGTCATTATGTCCAATCAAACCTAAGCTTTGATAAAAAAAATTATTTTTTGGGCAATGAATATAACCCATTACATACACAGGATCACTTTTAATAAGTGCCAAAGGAGCTTTTTGGTTTAACAAACACTACACATTAAGTGATAAAGTGGTGTCTATACTTGTAGATATGCCAGGTATGCATCCACAATGTCCTCAAACGTATTCTTGGCTTCCCTACAGTTGAAAGTGAGATGGTGAAGAGTATATAAATTATAAAATGGACTTACATAAAAGCTGCCAATGAATCCAGAAAATGCTCAAGCAACAAATGATCCAATAATGGGAGAATATTAAGAAAAAGAATGTTCACCTGATTGATGGTGTATACTATCATTCCCTGTGTCCCATTAACTATGTCAATCTTTCCCATATGGAAAATGGACATCCCAATACTCCAATACTATTTTGTTTAGCATACAATGATGCAGAAAAAAGAGGTTCATTGTAATATAGCAACATATAAACATTTGATTTGGGTTATTTTAGAGTACCTTATGTTATAACTCATCACATTACCTCTTATTGGGTAATGTGGTATTCAAGGAATGTAAGATGACAATGCATGCTTAATTCATATTGTGGTAATGCAGGATTACATTAGAATATGATCTATTGAACTTTGAAGGTAAAAAGGAAATTTTAAAAGAACACAAACAATCCCGAGAAACTCAAGGTAATCATATTATAAGTAGTCTTACGTTATACTTAATCACTCTTCAATTTAATCATTCACATTATCAATATGGAATTGGATCAAAATGCCCCCAAGAGTCAGGCTTTCAAAGAAGAAAAATTATCTGCCTACACTGCTTTTACCATTTGTCACGTTCATTTCCATACCTATTATATCTCAGATACTCAGATGTCCAAGGGGAAGAACCATACAGGTGAAAACCCCAATCAAACACTAGCGTGGATTGTTTTTAAATTGAACCCACCATACTATCATTGCATTGTTCATCCAAAGGCAGAGCATAAACTCCACAAGTTTCCTTTTTATACATCCAAGTGTGCACATGCATGTCTCATACCAGTAAAAGTACAGAAAATAGTAGAAGCAATAAAGTTAAAGGCATAAAATCAACATGCATGAAGGCATGTATACTGGCAGCAAGAACAACAGGCCCAGTAAAATCCCACAAAAGTAGGGTTTGGGGAGGATGTGTGTACGCAGACATTACCCCTACTTAGGGGTAGAGAGCCTGTTTCAAAGAAACCCTTGGCTCAAGCACAAAAGAACATACATGAAACACATTAGCATGAACTCAAGAGCAAAATCACAAAACATGCACAAAGGACACTAGCAACAAGACTCAAAGCAAAGAAAGCAGACATATGCACGCTACAGATGATGGAAGAAACACAACTTTGTAAACTACAAATTAAAGCACAAAGGACTACCTAGATAATCTAATCCTAAATCTCCAAACATTCCTATTTAAGGTCATATTCTCAGTAAGATCATTAAGTCGTAAGTCTTGTCTAATCATCTCTTTCCAATTCTTCCTAGGTCTACCCCTATCCCTAATCGCACCCACTACTGCAAGTCTCTCGCATCTCCTCTACTCACTGGAGCCTCCGCACTTCTTCTCCTTATGTGACCAAAACACCTCAGTCTAGCTTCTCACAGTATAACCTCCACAGGAGCTACTGCTTCAAGCAGAGTGAAATGTTAAATAAGAACCACAAGATCATTTTGCAATAACAAGACATATAATGTTGCATACAACCATACTTACTTCTGAAAAGAGCTACTTAGTTTCAGTGCGTAAAGCTCAAAGAGGTGCCTTGGGTTTGATCCTAAAACTTCAACAATTACATCCAACTGCAGTTTCAACAAATAGTGTTAAAATCTATTCTCTCCTTCATAAAAGGGCATGTGCAAATTCATACATATTAAGGATGCATAAATGTCCAAGAATTAGGTCATACCTCAGACTGGCTGAAAAACTGACCAGCCAGATGTATTTTAGCCTCTGCAGGAGTCCATCCAAATGTCTAGAATATTTACCATGTCATTATACAATGAGCAAAATGTGACATAAACAACACATAATTCACATGTGCTAATCTTATCAAATCAAAATCCATCAAGAAAGTGTCTTGACACCACAACCAAAATGAGTTGAAGTTGATTCTCTGAAAACAAATGAACAACTCTGTCTTTTCAAATATATTTTTAAATTACAAGTATATCAAAGTTCATACATTTTTGAGAGACTTGTGCAGTCAAAAGGCTTGTTAGATGGATTATCTATTAGTTTAAATTTTAATCATGTGACATGAGCTAGAAGCTACTAGTTAATGACATGCTTTAATGTACAAGCCTCTGAATATAGAGCCATGGCTCATGCGTCTTGTGAAATAACTAGGATAGTTGGATACAAATATTCTAAAAGAGATTGGTGCGGAAGTGAATGAGTGAATAAGTTTGTTGTGTAGTAACTGAGCTATACAATACATATATCAAGCAATATTGCCTTCTATGAGTGACCCGGGCATATTGAGGTATATTGTCACTTCAAGCTAGAAAAGATTCGCCAAGGTTTGCTCTCTACTATACAAATTCAAAGTGGTGATCAATTAGCAGATTTGTTTCCCACGGGGTTAAGCAGGAACTGACTTGAGTGTTTTTATAAAAAGAAGGCTTGATTAAATATGTGACTGATAATCAGAGGTTTTCCTCATAATGCGTAATTACATATTACAAAATGACTATATATATACATAAGAAGGGTGCTAATATAAGGAAACTATATCTCCCATATTAATGCCTAAATCACCCATATTAATGGCCAAATCAGATCCTGCCATATTCTCAGGACTTAACTAAAATACTAATATTATTACTAATAACACTCCCCCTCAAGTTGGAGCATATATATTTATCATGCCCAACTTGTTACATAAATACATAAGCCTGGTGCCATTTAGCGCTTTAGTAAGGAGATCTGCTAATTGATCTCCTGTCTTCACAAATCCAGTAGAAATCAATCCCTTCAGTATTTTCTCCCGAACAAAGTGACAATCTACTTCAATATGTTTCGTCCTTTCGTGAAAAACTGGTTTGGATGCAATATGAAGAGCAGCTTGGTTATCACACCATAGTTTCGCAGGGATGGGAGCTTTGAAACCAGTTTCATTGAGGAGGTGATATATCCATATTATTTCACATGCAGCTTGTGCCATGGCTCTATATTCAGACTCAGCACTAGAACGAGAGACAACGTTCTGCTTCTTGCTCTTCCACGAAATCAGAT